GGGCTTCACCCATGGCCCTCTGCCCACCTGCCCGCCTGACTCCCCGGGGCTTCACCCAAGGCCCTCTGCCCACCTGGCTCCCCGGGGCTTGACCCACGTCCCTCTGCCCGCCTGCCCGCCTGGACTCACGTTCTTGGCCAGGAAGACAACAAGGGTGTAGTCCCCACGTTCTAATGTGTCCAGGCTCTCCCCATCATCCCAGAAGAGTGTCCCTCGGGCCTCACCGCTGGTGCTCAGAGCTACCACCAGGGCCAGGGGCTGCTTGCGAGACTCTGTGGTGGTGAGGCCAGGACCCTGGAGGAGAGGAAACATGTCTCACCAGGAATCAGGGCGATGGCCACTCTGCCACAGAGACTGGGACTTGCAGACCTGCCCAGTTCCTGGTACAGGGTCACACCTGGCTGCACTCCTCCCCGACTGGCCCCAGACCCACAGCTCCATGTCCCTACCTGTCACAGTGCCAGAGGCCCCCAGAGGATTCCCCAGGTAAGGGCTAGTGGAGCACCCTCCCCTCAGGCCCAGGCCAGCAGGGAGATGCCTCCCTGTGCTGTCCTTCAGTCTTCGTGTCAGCCTGTGGACCCTGGTACCTGCAGGGGCACAATGTAGCCAGCACGCAGGTGGAGGTTGATGGTGTCCAGGGGAGCGGGCAACGTCACCCACTGTCCCTCGCTGTGGATGGCTGAGGTGAGGGGGGTGGGAGGCGGAGGTGGGAGGCTGCCCAGGGCCTCCACAGGCACCTAGAGGACATGGTTCACGTTAGTCGGAGCCCACACCTGTCACCTGTGTCCGGAGGGCTCCGCATGGCCTCAGTGGCAGGGACCCTGGACAGGTCAGGCCACATGTTGGGGCCAGAACCCAAGAGGCTGGACCCAGGGCTGGGGTGGGACAGGTAAGGGGGTGTTGAAGTCATGAGCAGCTGAGGCGGCATGGTTGGGGCCCTCCTGGGTCTGGGCGCATCTGACGGTTCCATGCACAGCAGCGGGGGACGCGGATGTAGAGGTGCCCCTCCCCACCATTCCCCCACCCTGAGTCCCGGGTTTACGGACCCCAGGCTCACCGTCTGCAGGTTGTACCATGTGCCCGAGGGGAAGTAGCCGGTCACCTCAGTCTTGCCAGCCTCCAGCACCGGTGTGATGAGGAGGGCTTCCCCCCATAGCAGCTGACGGTCCACAGTCCAAGTGTGGGGGTCCTGGGGGAATCTTCATAGGAGAAACACGCACATGGTGACCGGGGGCAGAGGCGACACCCGACCACAGTGTGCTCGAGGAGAGGGTGGACATCCCACCCCAGGGGGCCGAGAAGATCCCTTCCTGTGACATGGTGGACCCCCTACCCGGGGCACCTGGAGGCAGCAGTCCTATGCTTTGTACCCAAATCAAACCTCTTTCCCTGGGTTTGTCCTGACAGTTCAGAGCATGGCTCCAGCCAGAGCACCTACTCTGTGATTCTGGGAGGCTGCCCAACTTCACTCTCGCCATTTGACTTGTGGGTTACATACTGGACTGCGAGCCGCAGTCCCAAGCCATGGTATTTTCAATAAGCTCATATGCATGTAGATGCTGGACAGTGCATAAGGAAGACTGTAGAAGAATTGATGGTTTTGAGTTAAGGGGTTGGAGGAGAAAATTCAATGTTCCATAGACTGCCTACCACGGGGGCATCGAGTCAGGAACAACTGACAAGAAATTGTGTCCCCAGTGTTGGAAAGACAGCCAGGGTGCTCCTTGGCAGCCAAGATGGCCAGACTTCATCTCTCACACTTTGGACATATTATCAAGAGGGGTCCAGTCACTGGAGAAGAACATCATGCTTGGTAAGGTGGAGGGTTGGATCAAAAGAGGGAGACCCCCCAGCGTGATGGACTGGCACAGAGGCCGCAGGGATGGGCTCAGGCCTGGCAGTGATTATGAGGTTGGCGCAGGGCCGGCCGGGCAGTGTTTACATCTGCCAGCCACGTCCTCAGCGGCAGGAGGAGACTGGCCCGTAGGGATGGGGAGTCCGCTAAGCCCCTCGGGAGCAGCTCCGCTCTGTCCACGGCACTGCACTGACCTAGAGTCCACTCCGCACCAGTGGGCTTGCTCCTTTTTAAATTTGTTTGTAACTTACACATGAGGGGGTTTCATAAAATTCCATTTTCTCACGGACTTTTCCAAGCTCCCACATACTTGTATGGTGGAAGGAGAAAATAGCAAAACGGATTTTTTTTTCTAAATAGCTGCTGACATGGTGCTGTAGGATCAACACTGGCCTGTAACCACAAGGTTGGTGGTTCAAACCCACCAGCCACTCCTCAGAAACCCTATACAGGGTTACTATAAGTTGGATCTGACTCGATAGCACTTAACAGGAACCACCCTAGGGAGGAAGGAGCTCTGGTAGCGCAGTGGTTACGAATCAGGCTGCGAACCTTCAGGTCAGTGGTTCGAAACTACCAGCTGCTGGCAGGAGAAAGTGAGGCTTTCTACTCCCGTAAAGATTTACACCCTTGGAAACCCTGTACTCGACAGCACTTAACAACAACAAACCCTAGGAAGGAGCCCTGGTGGTGCAGTGGATGAAGCGTGGTGCTGCTAACCAAAAGGTCTTCTGTTCAAACCCACCAGCCGCTCTGTGGGAGAAAGATGAAACTCTGCTTCCATTAACGCTTCGTCTCGGAAGCCCTCTGGGGCAGTTGTCCTCTGTCCACGGGGAGAGTCACTGTGAGTCGGAATGGCCTTGATGGCCGTGAGCTCGAATCCCTGTGTCTGGGAACACATCCTTTATCTGTTACTGGAGACGCTGCCTTCCTGACAGGGTGGCTTCCTGGGCCCACTGTAGTGGACGAACCCTGCCTGCCACCAAAAATCATCAATGACCCCACTTAGGAAGAGGGTTTCTTTGTTATGTTAACGAGGCAGAGTTAGTGTTGTTGGTAACTTGGGTCATTCTGATTCACAGGGACCTTGTTTATGGGCTTTCCAAAGCTCTAAATCTTCACGGGAATAGAAAGTCTCATCTTTCTCCGGAGGAGCGGTTGGCAGGCTCGAACTGAGGACCTTGGGATTTGCAGTCCAGTGCTAATCTTGCATTCTTTTGAGATATTAGAAGAGCACATTGTGCAAACAAACACTAAAAAGGGGAAACTGATGCTGGGAAACCCAAAACAGAAGCCGAACGAGACAAGTGCCTGCCCCAAGACCTGGCTCCCCGAGTTCGGACTTCAGCCTCCTGAATTTGTTTGTGGCTTTTCTGCAGTAAGATGGACTCCAGGGTCTGTCTGAGGGCATCTGTCCCGTTTCCCTTAACTAATCAATCCAAGCGCGTGGGCTGTGCTTTGCCAACTTGGTCCACCTAGGGTTCTTAGTCCTGGGTTTTCCTGACCTCAGGACGGGTGTGCTAGGGGCACATCAGTAGGGGAGCCCCACGTTTTGGCTTCATCTCACTCACCCGTAGCCTGTTCCCAGGACCCTAAGCTGGACACCTGAGCATGGCTATGGTCTCCCTTCTCTCCCCCTCGTCCCAGGTCCCAGGTTCACTCACTCCAGGAAGAGGGGCCGGGCCACTGTCTCCGCCATGACGTGGGCCCGGTGAAACAGCGTGTAGAGGTAGGGGAGGAGCGCATAGCGCAGGGCGAATGCCTTCCTCATGGCTCGCTGCGCCGACTCGCTGAACCTGTAAGGCTCCTGAGGCTGTGGGGAGGGAGACACCTGGGCTGAGAAGCTCTGCCCGGAAGACCTGGGGAGCCCTGGCCACCCAGTGTGCCGCTGTGGTGCCAGCTAACTGGGTGGAGCTGCTGTGGTCCTTCCCTGGTGGGCCCTTTCCAGAAAAGCTCTCGGGCAGCAGGGAGAGTGCACAGATCGCCCTGAAAATAGCACTAAGGGCATCCGTCAGGTGGACACAAAGCCTGACCCGGTGTCCACCTACCATGCTGTCATGGTCATTGTGGTTCCGCATGAACGGGTAGAAGGCCCCCAGCTGGGTCCAGCGCACGCACAGCTCCTCGGAGGTGTTGCCCAGGAAGCCGCAGATGTCGGCCCCCACCAGGGGCACACCCAGTAGATTGAAAAGCAGGGTTTCTGTGCAGACAGATTTGGGGCAGGTTAGGCTGGAGGAACAGGGCTCCCCAGAACTATGAAGGGGCACCTCTCATCCATCCTGGGGCCGAACCCACTGTCCATGCTCAGTGGGACACACAGACAGGGCTGTGTGGGGCCAACCCGCCTGGACCTGTGGGGGTCCTGGGACTTGGCTCACTCTGGAGCCTGAATGGACACCAGTTCACTCTAGAGCCAGTTCAAAGACGGCCATGCAGGTCCTCGAACCCAGGCCCCTGTGCCGCCCCTGTGACGTGTGTCCTACAGCTCAGGGCAGGCACTGTCCACGAGGAGGGACGCTGTGAGGAGCCAGGGCCTAGTTCTGTGTAGGTCAGATGAAGTTAGAGATGCCCAGGAAGCAGGGTGCCAAACCCACAAAGGTGGGCAGACCTACGTAGGTAGGCACTACACTGTTAGGTGGACGCACACAGGTGAGTATACCTGTGCAGGCAGGCAGACCAGCACAATCTGCCTCGGTGGGGCCCCACCCGATCACAGCACCCAAGACCCCCGCCCCACTCAGCGGCACCATCCTGGCGGGTGCCCTCACCTGGCACTGAGAAGGCCAGCTGCTCCCAGCTGCTCCACACGTCTCCAGTCCAGTGGCCAGCATATTGGCCGTGGCTGGCAAAGGTGGAGCGGGAAATCACGAAGGGGCGTGTCCCTCGAGCCATCAGCAGAGCCCTGGGGAGCAGGGGGACAGAGCTGACCTCAGAGCTCGTGGAGTGGGACCCGGTGCCTGGGGAGGGAGTGAGGGCCGAGGCCCCCAGGTGGGACAGGCTGGCCAGGTGGGGGGCCTCACCTGCTGGAGGCGATGGCCTCTGTCAGGCCATACAGATTGTGCAGGTTGTAATGTGAGGACAGGTGTTGGTGGCTGGAGGCACAGATGGTGGCTGCCCTGAGACTCCCACCAACCACACCTGGAAGAGAGGGCTGGGTTTCCGTGGAGCCTCTTGGTGATTTGGGGGTGGGGAGTGGGGCCACCTGGCCTTCCACACCTAGAGAACTGGACACAGCCTCGTCCTGAGCCCCCAGGGCCCCACGCCCCGTCAGATCCAGTCACCCTGAAGTCAGGCTGTGCCCAAGTACCAGCAGGGAGCCCACACTTCAGCTCTTTCCCAGGTCCTAACTCAGGTCTTTCCCGTGTCCTTGTCTAAGGCCTCCCCAAGCCCCGCTCTGTTGTGAGTGGACGTCCTCTACCTAAACCTCGTTCCTGGAGGCCCCTCCCCTCTCCCAGGGTCTTTCAACCAGAGATGAACTTCCCGGATCTGAGCCAGAAAACGCCGACTCCAGCGTCAGAGGCGCGGGGTCCCACATGAGGCTCACTCTCCATGTTCCGGACAGCGGGCACTCACCTGGCACGTAGGGCGGGTTCTCCAGCTCGTTGTCTGGACAGCCGACCTCAGAGCCCTTTACAAAGTTGGACGGCTCGTTCATGTCCTACAGGAGAGGTGCCAGCAGTAGGTAGTGCTGCCCGGGGGTGTAAAGGGGACGGTGGAGACAGGGCACAGTGGGAGACCCCACACTTACAATCCACATGCCATCAAAGGGCACCTGGCTATGGAACTCTACCACCATGTCTTGCCACCAACTCTGGGTCTCAGGGTTGGTGAAGTCGGGGAAGGCGGAGGCTCCGGGCCACACCTGTAAGACAGCGGGCAGGTGGTGGGCAGTCTCATCCAAACCTGCCCAAGGCCCAGCACTGCGTCCCGTCCACTAGTGGAACTGTGGCCCTGAGCTCAGATAATGCCCACGTCAGCAGACCCAAGTGGGCAGGTCCTGGGGTCTGGAAGGCCTGGGTGTAGGTGTACGATGATACCAGGGGCCAGGAGGAAATGCCTCCCAGGCACGTCTCCTATGGGACATGTGGGTGGTTGGGGAGCCAGGGCAGAGAGGGGTCCATCCAGATGACGTGAAGAACAGAAACTCCAGAACGAAGCCTCATACAGCCTGAGTACCCTCAGATCTGACTCTCCCCTCCCTCTGTGCCAGAGGGAAACATTCTGCTTTCTATCCACTGCCCACGCCTCACCTTCCCAATCAGCGGCTGCCCAGTGTCATTGGTGATGAAGACCCCCCTCCTCAGACCCTCATCGTAGGGTCGATAGCTCCCGGGGGGTCCCACGCTGCTGATGGCGGGATCCTGCGGGGAAGAGCAAACAGTCAGGATCAGAAAGGAGCCCCTCAGAGCATGGCGCCCTCTGCTGGGGAGACGGGTCAGGTCTCACGACTGAGAATAAGGGAGAGGGCTGGGGGAAGCCCAGCAGGCAGGACACGGAACACTCACACGTGTCCACACATGGCACACACAGCATGGCAGACGGGAAGAAGGGGATGAGCTGTTCTAAGCCCACTCCCGTGGAGTCAACCCTGGCTCCCAGTGGCCCCACAGGACAGAGAACCGCCCCCTAGGGTCTCCGAGGCTGGAAAGCTTTCTGGGAGCTTCAGGCCTCATCTTTCTCCTTTAGAGCAACTGGTGGGATGGAACCATCGACTGGGTAGTTCGCAGCTCAGCGCCTAACCCAGAGCGCCACTATTGTTGTCAAGTGTCACTAAGTCAGTTTCGACTCAACGACCGGGTACCAGGCTGCCAACCCTGCCATTCAGTCCGACCTGGCAGCGCATTAACCCACAGCACCACACCAAGACTCCTAAACGTCATATAGCAAACGTTTATTGTTTTAGAATCATCTTTGAAAAGCAAGAAAGGAGGGTCTTGTGACTGTCCTCTCTGTTTCCTGTGGCCATGAGCACTCACCACCCGAAAGGGCCACGTCAGCACAACACCCAACTTCCTGTGCTCCATCTGGGACGCTCTGCTGCGCGCCCCCTCCTGAGGCTGCCGGCAGAGAACGTCTTCCCTCTCGGCCACTCAGAGGCCTGCCCTGGAGTCTGTCACCACACTGTCCCCTCTGGTACCAACACTGGGACGAGAGTGTGAGCTGTTCTCATCATATTCCTTCCAGTGACAGAGCGGACCAGGAGGCCGAGTCAGGAGACAGATCCTGGTTCCCGAGGATCCAGTCTGTGCTGGTGACGTTCGGTAACACACACCACAGAGAGAGCCCTGACGACAAACGTCTCGGCGGCTGTGTGGTGTGGAGCCTCCTTGCAGGAAACATTTGGGCCTGAGACCAGACCACACCCGAGGCCAATGTGGGGATGACCAGAGCAAGAGAGACCACAACGGGAGCTCACCATGAGGGAGCTAGGGTCGAGGTTCACTGAGCCTCAGGAGGTTCTGGGGTGAGGCCCACAAGGGCCTTGGGTCTGTCCCCTGGGGACATGGACACTCTGGACACCAGCCCTCCTGAGCTTCCTCCTTCCTGTTTGTATTCGTTTCTTTCTAGATTAGAGATAGCTCTCCCTACGTTTCCAGGAAACCAAGATGAGCCTAGTGCCCACCCACCTGGTCCTGGCTGTGGGGAGACCAGCGAGAAACGTCCGGTCTGGGCACAGAGGGACCAGTGTGGTATCACAGGGAGCTGTACATGGATGTCCTAGACAGCAGGGGCCCGGCCCCACAGGCCCAGATGCCACCAGGCAACACTCACGACAAGCATGACGTAACGCCGGCCAGCCCGGTGCAACTCCTCTACCATGTCCGGGAAGTCCCTGAAACCATCCGTGTTGAAGGTGAAGTCCCTCCTGCCATCCATGTAGTCCAAGTCGTTCCACTGGACGTCCTGCGGCCAACCACAGGGCCCGCTGCTGGGGGCAGCAGCGCCCAGGCCCCTCGACGCCCCATGCCATTCCCACCCAGGCTGGCCTTGCCCCCACCTCCTCCAGGACTCACCAGGGGGAAGTGGGCCTGGGTCATGTTCTGCACCACCTGGCGGATGATGTCAGTGGAGGAGTAGCCCCAACGGCAGAGGTGGAAGCCCAGGGCCCAGTAAGGCGGCATCGCCGGGTGTCCTGTGGGCAGGCCTGGTGTGAGTGGGTGGAGGGAGGGGATGGGGTGGGAGGCAGGGTGCACATGGGGAGGCTCACCCACGATGGCCAGGTACTGCTGCACCACACTCTTGGGCTCGGGCCCCAGGAAGACGTACATGTCCAGGATCCCTCCTGTGGCCCTCCAGCTGAGGGCTGGGCTCGGCTGCAGGACCACATCTGCGGGGACAGCGGTTCAGGACCAGTGCTCGCCCCTCGGCTGGGCCTCCCAAGGGAACCTGGGAGCTGAGGCGCTGAGTCTCCGAGACATCCTCCTGGCCCCTGCCCAGAGCCCACCCCGGGGACACCAGAGGGCAGACCTTGGAGAGGCACATGCGCTCCAGCCTTGGGACGGGAAGCCCACTACACCCACAGGGGCTAACTACCTGGGGGTTCGGTGTACCCCGGGGAAGGGTTTGGGGCTCCATTCCACTCACCCAGGGCATTACTGTTCAGCAGGAACACCCCGTGGGCCGCACCCCCATCCTCCAGCACCAGGTAGAAAGGGTGGGAGCCATAGAGGTTTGCACCGGGCTGTGGGGGGTGGGGGGTAGAGACAGTCCTGTCAGCCCCCTGCCCACCAGCCCGGGCCACATGTGTAGCACACGCCAGTCCTGACCCACCCCCCTTGAGACATGTTGGATGTCCCTTTCCAGAACTTTTAGAAGCAGGTCCTAATCTCTCTGGTCTCTGGCTCTGACCCACCCCCCCCCAGCTGCTCCAGCCTGGGAAAACCGGAGAATAAAGTCAGACAGACAAGGACAAATATAACGGGGCTTCAAAAAATTCATGAAGAAATGGAAGGAAAAGGAAATTTTCCGTGGGCTTTCTGAAGCGCCCTTGGACTGTACGAACGCCCGTGTGGGAGCAAACTCGTAACAACTAAAGAAGGCAGTGCGGCCCACAGGCTGGGTGGTGACGGGGGAGTTAGGAAAAGCTTCCTGGCACCCTGGCACCCCTGGACAAAGCGTGTTTCTGGGGTCCCCCGGTGGTGGGGCTGCTGAGGTGCACACAGCTTAGAATTCTAAGAGCAGCAGTAAGTCTTCTGAAGAAACCCCACTAAGTGGCCAAGAGCTGTGGCCCCCACCGCTATTTCTGAGACCCCCAACCGGGGCTGGGCCCAGGGGCTCACGTAACTCTCACCTGAGCCCCCACCACAGGGACCAGTCAGAAGGGTCCTGATAGAAGGGGACAGGGTAGCCCATGCCCCCCGCTGACCCCACGGCCAGATGGCCTCTACCTTAGGGGCCATGTCCCGATTCCAGAGGGTGATCTTGGTCCAGCTGGTGCTGAGAATCAGGGGGCTGAGGTGCTCGGCAAGCCCTACCACATATGGCGAGGGCAGGGTGGTGGACAGCTGCAGAAACTGATCAGCAAAGAACAGGGGTGCCACCGTGGTGTTCAGCCTGTGGGAGGGACCGCCAGTGGATGAGGGAACCGCGGGAACCTTTCCACAGAACACAAGCCCACCTGCCGAGGTCCGGGACCCACGTCAGGGAGGCCTGTCTGGACAGAGCACTCCAGGGGAGGGACCAGGGAGGCCAGGGTGAGCCCAGGACCCGGAGGCTGGGGGCTGAGTGAAGGCTCCCAGGATGCTCCAGCCCCCAACCCCAGGGCACTCCCAACAAGACTGGGGCTGGGGGACACAGAGCAGCACATACAGCACCCGACCGTCCAGCTTCCGGCGCACTATCAGGCCAAAGGGGTCCTTCCAGAACTCCACACTGTAGAGCAGGGCCGGGGCCTGGCTGTGCACACGTGGTGTCTTCAGAGGGACCTCATATCGCGTGTTAGCGGGGTCTTTGATCTAGAAAAGGCGTCGGTGACACCCTGGGTCCACCTATCCATCCCTCCCTCAGCCCCCAGAACAAGGGTACTGAAACGCAGGGTCGGGTCACACCCGCAATGGCTGCATGTGATCCGAGCCTGGATCCCTCATCAGCATACCACCCACCACGGGCTGGGGTGACCCAGTGGATGTGAACTTCAGGTAAACAGCAGACAGCTTTCAGTCCGTCTCCAATGTTGCATGGGACATACACTGAAAAATCACTTGTTGGCGATCTGAAACCCAACTCCCCTGCACGTTTATTTGCTGGACACCGCAGCCCTTACATTTCGCTTCAGGGTTAATAAGCAAACACAGAGCACTCGACACCCATCTAGTATCCAGTGAAGGTGTCCTGGTGGCACAGCGGTTGAAGCATTCCACTGCTAACCAAAAGGTCGGTGGTTCGAACCCCTCAGCCACTTCTTCAGAGTCAGATGTGGTAGTCTGCTCCCACAAGGATGACCCACTTCCTTTGGGTCGATACCAACTCACAGGGACTGTGTGGGCTTTTCTACACAGCTCTACATCAGGCGGCCGTATCGGTCTCACTCAGAGTGGCTGGTGGATTTGAACCGCAGATCTTATGGCTGCAGCCTGGGAAACCCTATGAAGCTATTCGACTCTGCCTTACAGGGTTGCTCTGAGCTAGCAGTGGGCTGAGTTTGGTTTGTTGTGGTGTGTGACGTCACCCAGGATGGATGAGTCAGTTCCCACCCATAGTGACTCTGCATAAGGTTTCCAAGAAGAGGCTGGTGAGATTGAACCGCGAACCTTGTAGTCCAGCGCCACACCAGGACCCAATTCTGAGGGTGGATACTTAATGGGTCATCTGTGTAAAATCCCAAGGCCAGACAGTCAGGTGCTCTGAGGCCACCCCTCCATGCAGCAACAAGGTCTCACTGGTTTTGTGTGTCAGGCAAATGTGGGGGTGAGTCCCACTTCTGTCCAGGGGCCTAGGGAGCAGCTGGGGTGCAGACAGGCAGGATGGGGCCCTCACTGAAGCCCTCCTTCTCTGCACCCTCTCTCCCTGCCTGGCCTCACTCCTCAGGCCTGCTTTCCAGATTTCCTCACTGTGTCCACACCCCACTCCCACCACGCAGCAGGGCCCAGGAAAGACTCGTGTGTAAACCAACACCCTGGTGAACCCCCTCCTCCGGGTCCTGACCCCCGCCTCCTTCTTTGCTCAGACCCTGGTCTCTCTCCCTGACCCCATCTCTCCTTCTGCTCAGACTCCTGGTCTCTGCCCCACTCCTGGTCTCCATCCCTGCCCGCCCTGGTCTCGGCCTGTCTGTCCCCTCCTGTGCCCTGCCAGCTCCCTGTTCCACCCACCGTGAAGTGCAGGCGGCTCTCGGTCTCCATCTGTACTTCGAGCTGGAGGGTCAGGATGTCCTTGGGAAAGAAGGTAGGGGCTGTGCGAGTCAGGATGGCCGTGTAGCCCAGGGCTGTGGTTGTGAGGTTCTCTAGCCTGTAGCTAGGGTAGCTGGGGGGGAAGAAACACCAGGGCTGTCCCATCGGGGGGCCCCCGGGGCCTGGTCGTGCAGGGATGTAGCAGCAGCCGCGGGCCTCACACTGTTCCTGGGTGATGGCCGACTCGGGGGCGCAGTCAAAGCGGCTGTTGGGGGGCACGTCACATTGTGCGGGCGCTGGCCTGAGGTTGCTATAGTACTCTGGAAGGCGCTGGGGCCTTCGGCTGCCAACTTGGTCAGTCTTCTCCAGTTCTCGGGGAACTGTGGTGAAGTCGCACAGCAGAATGTGCCCCAGGAGGGCAGCCGTAGCCAAGAGGGTGAAGGCGCAGGCCCCCAACAGGGGCTGGGGCAGGGTTCCGGAGCAGGACGGCCACCTCACACCCATGGTCAGCCGGCTGTGGGCAGTGAAGAAGCCGTGGTACAGAGAGGCCTGTGGGAGAAGCCGGGTCAGTGGGGAAGGAGGACAGAGTTTAAGAGTGGTCTCGGAGGTGAGGTGAGGCCGGTCAGGGTGGGCCGCTGCCCGGGGTCACACGTGGGGGGCTGTGCAGCTCTGCTTCTACTAAGATGGAGTCGGGTAAGGGCAGAAAACGAGCACCGAGTCCCCCATGGGGCAGGGGGCTTGCAAACGTTAGCATGATCAGCTGCTACTGAAAGGCTGGAAGTTCTAATCCACGCAGAGGTGCCTGGTAATCTACTCCTAAAAACCAGTCACTGCAAACCCTGTGATGCCCAGTCTACTTCGACACATGTGGGGTGTGTCTTGATGGCAACTTGGGGACTCTCATAGGTCACAAGTACACTACACAGCCTGGCAGACAGCTGAATGGACCACACACCCTACCCAACAGGGGTGGAGAGTCACCTCCGCAGGCACTGGAGCTGAGGTGACTAAGGTGTGACCTGTGGCATGCAAGGGGGAATGACCCCTAGGAAGGAGAGAGAACGGTGGGCTAAGACCCCTGAGGCCCCCTGCTAACTAATCCCTATGCTGTGTCAGGAAGGCTCTACAAGTTCTGAGGTGGGTCCTTGAACCAAAGGTGGTCATCAGAGGAGTCCTGGGTCTCCCAGGAATGGCTAGTGTACCTCTGGCACTCAGGTCTGGGCTGGGAGGCCTGGCCCCCAGGCACACTCAGGATGGATGTTCAGAGAGCTGGAGCCAGCGCCCTGGGGTCTGGCACATCCTCATGGTCCCCTGTACACCCAGAAGTGAAGGGATGGTCTGGCAGTAGCTAAATGCACCAAGTTTAAGACCCACGAGGCCCCTGCAGACACCCTCAGGACCAGAGGTCACTCTGATCAGAACCTAGGAAGCTCAACGCCGAGCCTGGGGTTCTTGAGACCCTTTCACGTGGCGGTTCTGTCTTGGGGGCCCAGGGCATTTGAACTGTTCAACACCACAGAAGGTGGTCCAGGGCACAGTGGGAGCTTTAATTTTGCAGTTGGGGAAAGTGATCCAAGAGAAGAGAAAGCTGCCTGCACCGCGTAAACAGGAGTTTCCATCTTGACAAATTGTAGATAAAAATGGACAAAAGATCAGGGGTCAAACGTGGAATCCATTACCCAGCCCCGTGACCCTCTCCATGCCTCAGTTTCCCCGTATATGAAGTCCTCGGGGCTTTTCCAACGAAGCAAAAGAGTAACTTGGGGCGTTTCCCGCGAGGCGGGTCGCTCGGAGGTGCCCCTGCCAATATCGCACCCTCACTCCTGCGTGGGACCTCACCGCAAGGGGGGCGCGCGCTGACCAGGAGGCACCAGCTGACTTCCAACCGTGTAATCATGACCTTGACCCAGCGCTTCCGGGGTCACGACCGTCCCGGCCCCCGTGCGCGGAGACCACCACACAGCCCCTGGCCTCCCCACACCAGCTCCCAGCCCCGCCTGCTCACCTCCGCACCGCCCCGGCACTCAGTGCCCACTTGGGTCCCACTTCGTCGGGCACGTGACGGCAGAGGCACGTGACCGGCCAGCTGTGCGTTAAGGAGCGACCCCCCTCCTTTCTCCCACGATGGACCACGTGACAAGGCCACGCGCGCAGGCGCTTGGGCTCGGTGCGGACTTCCGTGCGCCCCCTGGCGGCGGACCGCGCATCGCTGAGCTCAGAGGCCCGGGGCGCACTGATTTCCCGCCCTGCCGCACCCTTAGCTTGTTCGAGAATGCCCCAAGGGAACACGCACGTGACATGCTGTGACCTTACCATTTTCAGGGTCAGGGACAGGCTGAACTTGCTGACACAGTCCCCTGTCCTGTTTGTGTCCCTGCAACTGTGCAGGCTGGTTAAGAGCTAGTCGAGGCATGCCCTGGAGCCCAGGAATTCACCCGCATATCTGGCCTGAGGTCAGCATCAGAGGGGAGGAGGGACCAAGGAGTCCGCCTAGGATTGTTATGCACATTGATCATCTAAAGCAGGTTTATCCTAAATAGCCACCTAGTGTGAAGGATCTAACAACGTTGTGATAACATAACCCAGGCAGTCTGTTGTAGATCATTAAATGGCATTTGCAAAGTATCATCAAACTAGAAGTGCTTTGTGTTAGTTGTTGTGATGTGCTGTGGAGTCGGTTCCGACTCATAGCGACCCTGTACAGAGTTTCCGAGGCTGTAAATCTTTACGGGAGCAGAAAGCGTCATCTTTTTCCCGTGGAACAGCTGGTGGTTTCAAACTGCTGACCTTAAGGTTCGCAGCCCGATTCGTATCCACTACGCTCCCAGAGCTCTTTGTGTTAGGATATGGAGTAAAACATACACATAAAAAAAGTACTGGAAGGGTATCTGTCCAAACAAGCACTTGGTTGTCTCTTTCCTCTGGGTAGGGAAGTTAGGGGTTTTCCAGCTGCTTCATGTCAGTGTGTCCTACTGTATTTCAAATACAGTACCAGAACCCATGGGGGACAGGTTTCAGTGGCGCGTCCAGACTAAAACAGACTAGGAAGAAAGTTCTGGCAATCCACCTCCAAAAATCAGTCAGTGAAACCCATGTGGATCCCAACAGACCACGGTCAGATACAGTGATGGGAGATGGTCCCCTTGGCAGGCATTCCAAATACACAGTGGTCCCAGAAACGGATCGGAGCTTGTCACTGTGAAGATGGGAATCTAACATGAAGACCTAGCTATGTTTTGTTCTGTTGTATATGGGGTCACCATATGGGAGTCTGGAGTCCTGATGTGGCACTGTGGGTTAATGCGCCAGACTGCAAAGTCTTTTGAACTGCAAGGTTGGTAGTTCAAGCTCACCAGCTGAGCCTCGAAAACCCTCTATAGGGTCGCTATGGGTTGGAACTGACTCGACAGCACTTCACAACAACACATGGGAGTCTGGGTGTGGCGTTAATGCAATGGACTGCAAGGCCAGTTTGAACCTCAAAGTCAGTGGTTCAAGTTCACCAGCTGCTCCTCAGAAATCCTATATAGGATCGTTCTGAGTCAGAGCTGACTCGACGTCACTTAACAACAGCAACGACATGGGGTTACCATGAACTTGAGTCAACTGGGTGACACCTAACAACACTACTGTCATATTCAGGGGGAAAAAATGTTTTTATAATTTTCTGCTGAAAAGTTTGAAACTGAAATCATTTCATAACACGTTTTCACTTTAAACAGCAGAGAAAGCGACAACGTACTGAGAAAGCAAGGGCTGTGGGAGTCACAGCTCGGTGCTAATAGGGAAGAAAAACATTAGCAGGCGGACAATGGAACACGAGAAGTCTCCTTTCAGCAGGGAACTTCCCTTCCATGTCCTGAGATCCTTGACCTTCTGCAAACTAGGAACATGGATTTAACTGAGACTGAGAGGAGCAGCGGGGGTGGGTCCTGAGGTCTGAGGAACCCATGGGAAATGAGGCGGCTTTTGGCCTCGTAGATGCACGCTAGTAGACCAAACAAACTGTGAGGTGAAGTGCACCTTTAAGGCCGTACTGCCCACTTTACCCTGCTTTTAGGGGTACATGTTCATTTCCTCAGCCCAGATTCTGAGCTAGTACCACCAGCTCTTATGAGGAAATACAATTCCCTCCGCCCACTCTCACATGTAGACACCAACCAGTGAGTCCCGTGTAGGAATACCAGTTTATGTGCCCAGCGTCCGTGTTTGCAAACAGAAGGCTCAAACTGTCCCAGGCATAATGGTAAACTTTAAGATTGTACTCAGTTTAAACTGATGGGTAGCTTTAAAAAAGAAAGAAAGAAAGATTATCCAGTGCTGGCCTGCCTATCTCCTGATCTGGTTCATTTTCCAAGGGTAGCATAGTTTGCAGACACAGAAAGATTATAATGTTCTGGACCCCGTGGTGGCTTCAGAGCTGGATCCTGGGGCCTCCATCTTGGCAGCGATGGTCTGTCTGAGCTTGTGGAGGGTCTCCTGGAACTGTGGGTACTCGTCCTTCACACGGTCCAGGATGGCGCTGATGATGGCCAGCCGGCTGTCCAGCCGCTTGCTCTCCGCCTGCAGGGACTGCTCGGAGCGATACAGGGGCACGTACTTCCCCTCCTTCAGGGCCTGCAGGTGCTTCAGACGCGTTTGCAAGTTTACAATCTCGGAGAGGTTCTGGGGAGGGGGCGAGGAGGGCAGGGACAGACGTGGAATCAGAGTGAGCCAATCAGAAAAGAACCTCCACATAACATCGAAAACTTAAAACGAAACCATAGTGATTCCCATTCCAACCCTCCGCTTCCCAGCTTAATTTTTCCCCAAAGTGTCGACCAGCCCCCAACACACATGCCCTGTTTTCTTCTTGGTTTATTATTTTCCTCCCTGAACAGCCCTAGCAGGAAAACAGCAGCCTTTGTCTTTCACTTCTGTTTTTAGCCCAATACTGAGGACTCCTGGCTGTAGGCTCAGCTCTGGGCTGCGAACCACAAGGTCGGCAGTTCAAACCCATCAGCTGCTCCCAGGAACAGGGTCCATATGAGTTGGAACTGACTGGTTGTTGTGGTTATGTGCCGTGGAGTCGGTTCTGACTCATAGCGACCCTGTACAGGGTTTGCGAGGCTGTAAATCTTTATGGGAGTAGAAAGCCTCATCTTTCTCCCGCGGAACAGCTGGTAGTTTCAAACTGCTGACCTTGATGTTCGCAGCCTGATTCGTACCCACTACGCTACCAGAGCTCCTTACTTATCAACAATGGAGACCAGTACCAATCCCACAGGAGACATTCTGTAACTGACTACCTGTTGAGAAAATGAGGGCAAAGCCACAGGGATGTAGGCCTGCTGGTGCTGTGGTCAGCCTAGGCCCAAGGAGGCCCAGGACACCTGCCACCCTGGTGGCTCCTCAGGGGGTGCTTACCTGCCGCTTGAGGGCCACCAGCCGTTCGAGGTCAGCATCTAGAAGGTCGGAATCGGACTGCGTGGCCGACAGCGTCTCCTGTTTCTCCATCAGAGAGTTGCTCACGCTTTTCTGCATCTCTTCCAACTCCTGCATGGTCTGAGAGCACACCTCAGTGGCCTGCAGAGAGAGAGATGGAGAGAGAGAAAGTGAGAGTGAGAGTGAGGGGCAGGGAGAGGAAGAGAGAGAGAGAAAGGAAAGGGGGAGAGAGACAAGGAAGAGAGAGGGAAAGGAGAGGGGGAGAGAGAGAGAAAAGAAAGGGGGAGAGAGACAAGGAAGAGAGAGGGAAAGGAAAGGGGGAGAGAGAGAGAAAGGAAAGGGGGAGAGATACAAGGAAGAGAGAGGGAAAGGAAAGGGGGAGAGAGACAAGGAAGAGAGAGGGAAAGGAAAGGGGGAGAGAGACAAGGAAGAGAGAGGGAAAGGAAAGGGGGAGAGAGACAAGGAAGACAGAGGGAAAGGAGAGGGGGAGAGAGACAAGGAAGACAGAGGGAAAGGAGAGGGGGAGAGAGACAAGGAAGAGAGAGGGAAAGAGAGAAAAAGAAGAAAGGGAGGGAGAGGGAGAGGCCTCCTGGCCCATCCTCTGGTCATTTGTGGCCCTGTCTGTATTCACTGCCTGCTCTTTGTCCAGAGCCTGTGGGGAGGGCCCAGGGAGGAGTCAGTCTCCCTGTCCTTCAGGGAGGGGTGGGCCCCCGTGGAATGTCAGGGTGCAGTGATGTCTCACAAGGGCTGCCTGCTGCCCAGAGATAGACATGGCCTAGAGAGACACCTGGGAGCTCCTTCTGAAGTGTATCTGTCTTCTGGGACGCGGGGACCAGGGACAGCTCAGGGCGCCCGGTGCCAAGGGCAGGGAGGAGACACAGGGTGAGGGCCGGTGGGAGGTGGGGAACCCTCAGCGGAGCCCCAGCAGGATGCACAGATGGGCATGGCCAGGGTGCCGTCCGTCCATGCACAGAAGGCTTTCCCCTCGCCTGTTTTATGCTGCTTCCTACCTTGTGGATGTCCCTGATCTTCCGTCTCAGTTCAATCTGCTTGTAATGGAAATCTGTGCGAGTGATCGTCTTCTTGTCCATCTTGCTCTGGCCCTCGGCCCGGGTGGTGATGGTGTCCCTGTGGGCCACGGCCATCTCCATGTCCCTGACCATCTTCTCCTGCTGCTTCATCAGCTGCCCGTGCCGGACCTGAGCACACAAGGGCAGGGGCTGGGGGATGCACGGGACGGGGCCAGGAACTGGCGTGCCTCCAGCTACAGCAGTCACTGTCGGCTGCTCAGAATGACTTTAAGGTTTCTATAAAGGATGACGCCACCCTGCTCCCAAGCACCCACTGCCTTTGAGTCGCTCCTGACTTCTGACGACCCCAAGAAAAAACAAAAACGCCCCCGAAGAATTCCAAAGGTGGCCAACGAACGGGGGTCAAGAAAGAAATTCCTGAGTAGAGTTAGGGACAAGCAATAGAGGATAATGGAAGAAGACCTGCCCCACCAGGCTTTTCAAGGCGCTGTAAAGTGATAATAATCAGAATATTTTGGCGTTGGCCCCAGCCTTGTCCAGGTGACAAACAGAAAGCATGAAGACGGTGACCAGTGAGGCCTTTCACTTCAGTGAGAAAACCACGGAGTATTTAATACCCACTGTGGACAGACAGTCAACTGTCTCATATCATAGCTCAGAAGAAACCCCTTCTGAGGTGGATTCTGGAACTAAAGAGATGCAAACATTTAAAATATAGATTTGTGTGATAAAAGAAACCCTGAACAAAGTGGAAAAGCAGTCATGTGACAAGAGAATATGTTTGTAATAAACATGACAGATGGGTTAATAGCCCAAGATACAGGGGGTGTGGGATGCTATCGGGTCGGTTCCAACTCTGGGCAACTGTGTATAGGGATCCCCAGGCTGTCAACTTTATGGGAACAGAAAGCCTCATCTTTCTCCCACAGAGCACCTGGTAACTTTGAACTGCTGACCTTACACTCAGCAGCCCAGCTCGAAATCCACTACGCTACCGGGGAGGCCCTACAAATTATTAGGTAAGAAGAGAAAGTGCCTGATAGAAAAAACAGCCCAGGAGATAACAGGCGACTCACAGACCAAGAGATAGAGAAAGTGCCTGATAGAAAAAACAGCCCAGGAGATGAACAGGCAACTCACAGACCAAGAGATGCAAACACGAACACACAACTCACCCTTGTACATGCACACACATGCACACGCGTGCACAGATGCACACGGATGCTCAGTCCCTTCTCTGGGTGAGCCTTGCAACAGATTCACAGGACGTGCAGCCATCTTGTTCACACAGCAAGTTTATCAACACGAAGACTGATAAAAAGAAAGATGTGAGCTTCCTTAGCAAAGACACCTAGCTATAGCCCATGTACAGAAATCAAACCATATGTCCATATACTAACACATAGCATTTTAAAAGTATCACATTCATATGAGAGTACCAAAAACCAACAGAAAAGACTTAGGAATACATCTAAGAAAAGGTGTGCTGAAAACTAAAAACACGAATGAAAAATTTTTAAAAAAGGAACAGAATGGAGAGATGGAGCACTCAGTGGCTCTGTAGAATAAACACTGTATCGCGAACCTCAGGACCAGCAGTTCGAGTTCACCAGCTACTCTGTAGGAGAAAGATGAGACTTTCTATTTCCGCAAAGATTTACAGCCTCAGAAACTCTACACAGGGTCTGAGTGGGAACCTACTCAATGGCACTCAACAGCAAATGGAGAGACACACAGGTAGTCCCTGATTTAGGATGGATTCAAGTTACGATGAACGACACTTAGGATCACTGTAATTTGGGTTTTTGTTTTGTTTTGTTTTTTAACATCTTGTGGTTAGTAAGGAGCTATGGTGGTGCTGTGGGTTAGGCATTGGGCTGCTAACCACAGGTCAGTGGTTTAAACCCACCGGTTGGTATATGGAAGGATGAGACTGTTCCCATGCAGATTCACAGTCTTGGAACCCCTCTATAGAGCTGCCATGAGTCAGAATCGACTCGATGCCAGTGGGTTTTGTGATTTTTAAAACAATAATATGTACTACATACTGAGTCCTGATGTGGCACTGTAAGATAAGCACTGGATTTCTAACCACAAGGTGAGCAAACCCACTGGTGTTGGAGGAGAATATTAAAAATACCATGGACTGCCAAAAGAACCAACAGATCTGTGTTGGAAGAAGTGCAGCCAGAATGCTCCTTGGAGACCAGGATGGCCAAACTTCGTCTCTCATACTTTGGACATGTTGTCAGGAGAGACCAGTGGCTGGAGAAGGATATCATGTTTGGTAAGGTGGAGGGTAAGAGAAAAAGAGGAAGACCCCCAACGAGATGGATTGGCAAAGTAGCAGTATATATTGGCTCAAGCGTAGCAACGATTCTGAGGCTGGCCCAGGACTGGGCAGTGTTTCGTTCTGTTGTGCATAGGGTCGCTATGAGTCGGCACCTAACAACAAGGTTCTATATCACAGGTTGTTAATGAGTCTTCCTCCAATCCTGATGCCGTGTTCTTCTTCATATAATCTTGTTTCTTCTCAGATTATTTGCTCAGCATACAGCTTGAATAAGTATGGTGAAAGAATACAACCTGGGCACACACCTTTTCTGATTTTAAAACATTCAGTATTCCCTTGTTCTGTTAGACCGACTGCCTCTTGGTCTATGTACAGGTTCTTCATGAGCACAATTAAGTGTTCCGGAATACTCATTCTTCGCAATGTTGTCCATTGCTTGTCATGATCCACACAATCGAAAGTCTTCGCGTAGTCAATAAAGCACAGGTAAACACCGTTCTGGAACTCTCTGCTTTCTTCAGTCAAGATCCATCTGACATCAGCAATGATATTCCTCGTCCAACATCCTCTTCAGAGCCAAGCTTGAACCTTTGAAAGATCTCTGTCAATGCACGGTTCCAGCTATTTTTAAATTATCTTTAGTAACATTTTACTTGCATGTGCTATTAGTGATATTGTGCAATGATTTCAGCATCCTGCTGGGTCACCTCTCTTTCAAATGGGCACAAATAGGCATTTCTTCCAGTAGGTTGGCCAGGTAGCTGTCTTCCAAATTTCTTGGCATAGATGAGTGAGTGCCTCCGGTACTGCAAGAGTCTGTTGAAAGATTTCCATTCGTATTCCATCAATTCCCGGAGTCATGTTCTTTGCCAATGCCTTCAGTGCACCTTGGACTTCTCCCTTCAGGATCATTGGCTCTTGATCATATGCTACCTCTTGAAATGGTTCAGTGGCTTGTGCATTCCTTCCATCTTCTCTTGATGCTTTCTGCATCATTTGATATTTTGCCCAGAGAATCTTTCAATATTCAAGTTGAGCCTTGAATTCTTTTTTTGGTTCCCTCAGCTTGAGAAACGCTCATTATGTCCTTCTCTTTTAGTTTTGTAACTCCTGGTCTTTGCACATTTCATTGTAATATTTGACTTTGTCGTCTCGAGCTGTCTTTTGAAATTTTCTATACAGATCTTTTATCTTACTTCTTATATTTGCTTTAGTATTTCTACACTGGAAAGCAAGTTTCAGAGTCTCTTCTGACATCCATTTTGGTCTTTTCTTTCTTTCTTGTCTTTTTAATGACCTTTTACTTTCTCCCTGTATGATGTTCTTGATGTCTCCTACAACTTTTCTGGTCTTTAAGTTGTTGTTAAAGGTTGTCAAGTTGGTTCTGATGCATAGCAACCCTGTATAGGTTTCTGCGTAGCACTGGTAGGTTTGAACCTTAAGTATGAGTTACACCTCAGTGTAAAGACGACAAAAATCCTCACCACTGGAACAATAAACAACATCCATATAAATGGAGAAAAGATTGAAGTTGTCAGAGACCTCATTTTGCTAGGATCAACCATCAACACTCAGGGAAGCAGTAGTCAAGAAATCAAATGACGTATTGCTTTAGGCAAATCTGTTGCACAAGACCTCTTTTAAGTGTTGAAAAGTAAAGATGTCAGTTTGAGGACTAAGGTGCACCTGATCTAAGCCATGGTGCTTTCAATAGCCTCATACATATGTGAAAGCTGGACAGTGAGTAAGGAAAACTGTAGAAGAATTAATGAATATAAATTGTGGTGTTGGAGAAGAACCAAGGATTACCAGGAGAACAAACAAATCTGTGTTGGTAGAAGTATAGCCAGAATGCTCCTTAGAAGCCCGATGGCAAGATTTTGTCTCTCATACTTCCGGCATAGTATCAGGAGGGACCAGTCCCTGGAGAAGGACATCATGTTTGGTGAAGTTGGTGAAGTGGAAGGTCAGCGAAAATGAGGACACCCACTCTCCTCCAATGAGACAGATTGGCACAGTGGCCGCAGGAATGGGCTCACACTTAACAATGTTGTGAGGAGAGTACAGGACTGGGTGGTGTTTCCTTCTGGGGTGTCTAAAGTTGCTTTGAGTTGGAACGGACTAGATGGCACCTAACAACAACAAAAACGGTCTTCAGGGTAATGCAATCCGCTGAAGATGGCAGTAGGGCAGAGGGGCAGCTGCAGAGAGGAGATGCACAGGCCATGGGCTTCTTTTACTGCGTGACTCTCCTTTTGTTTACCATGGGGTTTAAGAGGCTTGCTGTGGCGCTGCAGAATAAGCACCACGCTAAAGATTTACACCCTCGGAAACCCTGTACAGGGTCGCTATGGGTCAGAACCGACTCGAAGGCACTTAACAACAACAACAACTATTCGCAGGCCGTTCAAAACTACCAGCGGCTCATGGGAAGAAAGATGATGCTTTCTGCGGGTTAAATGCACTGGACTGCAAGGTCGGTTTGAACTGCAAGGTCGGCAGTTCAAGCTCACCAGCTGCTCCTTGGAAACCCTATACAGGGTCGCTATGGGTCGGAACTTAACAACAAGAAGTGGCATTGTGGGTTCATGCGTGGGACTGCAAGGGCGGTTTGAACCGCAAGGTCGGCGGTTCAAGCTCACCATCCGCTCTTCGAAAACCCTATACAGGGTCGCTATGAGTCGGAACTTAACAAGAAGTGGCATTGTGGGTTCATGCGTGGGACTGCAAGGGCGGTTTGAACCGCAAGGTCGGCGGTTCAAGCTCACCACCCGCTCTTCGAAAACCCTATACAGGGTCGCTATGAGTCGGAACCGACAACAAAGCCCGATAAACCCCGCCAGCCATCCCCGCCCAGCCATCAGGCCCCGCCTTCCTTACGGCCCCGCCCACCTCCCCGCCCACTCACCTTCATCCTGTGAATCTCCGCTTTCATGGTTCGGATCTCAGCCTGGCCGGTCTCGGAATCCACGGAGGCGCGCATCTCTTTGGCCAGCTGGAGTTTCTTCTCCCACAGCATGATCTGGTGCCTTTGGAAGTAGGAGAGGGCATGTAAGAACTGGGGAAACTGAGGCACGTTCTCTGCACTGAACTCACCGCAGGTTCAGGACTCACGATAGAGCTGGCAGAATGTCGCGGAGGTGCGCTCAGGAAAGAGGAGGCCTTAACCTGTGTTGGATTTCCCAACAGGCAAGGTAAGCACGAGGTTACCTTGTGCATCAAAATGCCCAGGCAGTGAGTCGGGGCGTGCTTTTGCCCTCCTCTGGGACCAAGAGGCCAGCTAGGCCCCTACTACGTCCACGCGGCCACTTAACTGTGCAGGCCATCCAATGGGAATGTAGCCCACGCCCCGAAATCCAGGCGTCCCCTGCTTTTCCTTCCTAAATTCGCTTTACGCCACTTGGCTTTTCTGAAAGACCTACATTAGGACCCATTTTTCACTAACTGAAATAAGTGCAAAGTGGATTTTCGTTTTTACGAAAAGCGAAGCTGATGCTCAGCATTTTTTTAGATCTGTTTGAGAGGCAGCTGGGACCCCCGAAGCAGCAAGAGGGATTTTGCTCATCTCCCACCAGCATCTCAGCCTTTGAGGACAGTCTGTGTTGGGGCTGCTTTAGGCTCCATGCCTTGCTTGGTATGATCCCGTAGGTTATTTTTGGGGGTCTGGGAATACTCAAATTCCTGGCTGTGTAAATTAATGGCAATGGCTTCTTCACTTTATGCCATTTCTGTTTACCAAAGGTTTCATAGGAGCGCTCTACTTTCAAATGAATCTTTACACAGCAGCCCCGTTTTTGGAAAAGAAAAAAAAAACACGATGGAGCCCAGACCCGGAGGAGTTCTAGAACAGGAAGAGGGCCCACGTGACATGTGAGTCAGTACACACGCCACTATCGTATTGGGGGGGGGGGCACTTGTAATAATAATTTCTTATTCAGACACCAACAGTTATGTGTCAAAAATTAGATGTAATAATGTTGGTCCCTAAAGGGCACGGATAACGAATTTGCAGAGCTGCCGAGGTCCTGTATGCGTAATGACGTCGTGTCCCTGTGGGCGGGGTCACGCTCACTCGGCTTCCACCAGGCTGTTGAGGATGGACGTCTTCTCCTCTTTGATCTGGTTCAGCCTCTCCTGCATCTCCATGGTCTCTCTCTCACAGGCCTGGGTTGGAGAGAGTGAGGGACAGCTATGGGGGCAATCCAGTCCACTCTGGATACATGGCTGCCCCCGAGAATTTGGAGCTATGTCTTAATGCCAACACGCCCCCCTTCCCCCCCCACCACACACACCCATGGACACATGTGCAAGGCCAGTATGTCAGGGCCAGGACAGAGGGCATTCAGGCCAGGGTCAGCCAACCTTGAGGGAGCGCACGAACTCCGTCTCCGTCACCATGGTGACCTGCTGGAGCTCCTCAGAGCTGCACCTGTTGTTGTTCATCACCATATTGAGCTTCTTCAGGTCGTTATCCAGGTCTTTCATGTGCCTCTGGATCTCCTTCTGTTCTCTCTTCTCCTGCGTGATCTTGTCTGCAGCACAGAACAGAGGAACAAGGCCCAGGGGACTTTCTCCTCAGAGTTCCTATTGACTCCTTGCTCTTTCCACCAACCCACCAGGTGCCGTTGAGTGGATCCCGTGTGGGTCAGAGTAGAACTGTGCCCGTACGGGTTTCAGTGGCTGAGTTTTTAGAAATAGATTGCCAGGTCTTTCTTCCGAGGTGCCTCTGGATAGACTTGAATCTCGAGCCTCTTGGTTAGCAGCCGAACACTTAAACCATTTGCAATAGCCAGCAATTCTCCATGCCCCTCTCTTCCTCCAAATCATGTGACTGCTAAGTCAGAAAGAGAGGGGAGGGGTCTTGTCCTAACTGCTATGGTTGCCAGCCCTGGTCCTCAAAAACGAGAGGACCTGTATGGACCACCAGCAGGTATGGGAGGGGCATGGTGAAGGCAATCTGATAACTCGAGAGCCCTTTGTCCATGGGCCAGCTACGCTTCCCCTCAAACAACACAAGTCTCCAGGAAGGGTGGCCGAGGGCCCTGCTCCCCTTCTTCACCAAGCAGCAGAAACCAACCTGCAACAGAGTGGAATGACCCAGGAGTGGGACGCAGGACCTGAGTGGGGGTGGGTGGGTGCTCCGTGCACCCCAGCAGAGAGGACTGAGGACCACAGGCTGCATTTTCTGGAGCTAGAGGGCCCTCACGACTAGGCTGACCCACTAGGGTCCATAACCAGGGAGGTCTCGGAGGGACACGATACAACAGGAGTGAGGCAATGTGGGACAGTCGTGAAATTCAGCTGGATCCGAAGAAAGATCGTGTCTGTTCAGAACTACACACCGTGCTGAGCCGCCATGAGCAAAGGGAGCTAACTACCCATCAGGATGTGGGGCTCCGTGCACAGGGGCGCTGTTAGGGGTGGAACTGTGTCCCCCGCAAAATCTGTGTTGGAATTGTAACCCGTGCAAGTCATCCTGATTGCAAAGAGGGATTCTTTTTTGTGTGCATGAAATCCTATCAGTGTAGGGTGGGTCATATACCTCATCCCTTCTGAGTGCAGATTAGACACACACATACAGACAGACACAAATGCTGGAGAAGACAGACACACACACTCTGGGAAAGACACAGACAAACACACAAGACACTGGGGAAGACAGGTACACACATGCTAGGAAAGACTGACAGAGACACACACACACACTTGGGAAGACAGATGGACAGACACACAAGACACTGGGGAAGACAGGTACACACATGCTAGGAAAGACTGACAGAGACACACACATATACTTGGGAAGACAGATGGACAGACACACAAGATACTGGAGAAAACAGACAAACACACACACAGGAGAAGACAGATGCTGTGTGAGGATCTGATACTGTGTAAACCAGGAACGCCCAAGGGGGTCCCACAGGGAAGGAATCCACATGACAGACACCCAATGATTTGCAAAGACTTTGAGCCTCCAAAATTTTGAGAAAATTCATTCCTGTTCCTTAAAGCCACCCCTTGTGGCAGTTGTATGATGGCATTCAGAGACCAAGATGGGCATGTTCCACCGAGTGTCCCTGGGTCCGGTGGGGACAGCGGCATCCCATGGGCCCACTCCGAGAAGACACATGGTAGGCCAGGCATCCACCAACTTGGACAATCCAGCTCATTTTCTCAACAGTTCCACACTGGTTTGAAAAATATACGTAAGGCTTTTCTGTGGGTTAATGCGCCAGACTGCACGGCTGTTTGAACTGCAAAGTCGGTGGTTCAACCTTACCAGTCGCTCCTCGGAAACCCTGTATAGGGTCGCTATGGGTTGGATCTGACTCGACGCCACTTAACAACAACATCAAAATAAGCTCTGCCTCTCCCAGCCACAACTGTTGTCCTGAGGAAATCTTTAAGCCTTGAGCTGAAACTATCCTCTGAAGTCATCTTTGAGCCACATCATTGCTTATCCCGTTAGAAAACAATGCCAGCCTGCATTAGGTCTTGTTGTTAAGTGCTGTGGAGTCGATTCCAATCCATAGCAACCTTATATGGGGTTTCCTTCCAAGGAGCAGCTGGTGAGCTTGAACCACCCACCTGGCAGTTCAAACGACTTTGCAGTCTGATGCATTAGCCCACAGTGCCACACAATTAGGCGTTAGACTCTTCTAAAGAATTCTCCTCAGTCACCAGCTCAACTGCAGCAACTCCAAAGGGCAGATGTGAAGCTGGGGGTGGGGCGGTGAGTGTGTGTTAATGATGCCGAAGTGGTTTGGAGAAGGTTGTGGAGAAAGATGGGACTGAATGTCACTGATGACACTAAACTGTACATGTGGAAAATGTGGGAGGTGGGGTCTGTTTTGTTGTGCGTATTTTCACCCCCAAAATAAGCAGAAATGAAGCAGCCCCTCCCCTCTCTGGCCCTGCCCGCCCACTCACTCTCAATCCGCAGTTTCTTCTGCTCCATGATGTGAATCTCTTTCTTGAACAGGTCCAGGTTGGCCAGCTGCGCCTCGCGCTCCTGGGTGACCTTGACTATGTCCTGTTGCAGCCGCAGCCAGCTCACCTGGGCCTGGGCCACGCTGGCATTGTGCTCCTCAATCAGCTTCACCAACCTCTTGATCTCCAGCTCCAGGGGCCCTACCTCTTCCCCCTACAAGTGGGCCGAGTGGTCAGGAGAAAAAGATCCTCAATGGTATGGCTCTGCAATGAGGGTGAGGAGGCGAAGGGCTGTGGGTGTTTTATAAAGACACATGGGGGGAAACAGAAGCCATGGGAAGATGCACTAGAAGCTAGAGGGGACAAAGAGTGGCCCTGAAAATGGACTCGCAGCCGCCAGATCTGTGAGAAAATACATTTCTGTTCATTAAAGCCTTCCAACCCCCCAAAGGAGCTCTGATAGCGTAGTGGTTACGAGTCGGGCTGCCAACCTCAAGGTCAGCAGTTTGAAACGACCAGCAGTTCCTTCCATGGGAAAAAGATGAGGCGTTCTGCTCCCGTAAAGATTTATAGCTTTGGAAACCCTGTGCAGGGTCACTATGAATCGGAACCGACTCCACAGTACTTAACAACAACAACAAACCCCCTAAATACAGCCATCTTCTTCTCAAGGTCTCCCTTCTGGTTGGTGGGAATCCCTGGGGTAATGAAGTGGTGCTATGGTTGGGCTTTATTGATTTGGAGGGATGCCAACGGGCTCTACCTAGGCAGAACCAGGTATATACCACAGACCTGCTGAAAGGGGGGCTCCAGAACCCCGTTCCACTATTCTGGAACCCCCTAGTAGGCCCCAGATGCAGGGGCAGGGCAGGCTCACCCGCTGTTTCCCCAAAGGACTTTGAAAGTGGCCTTTGTAACCAAGATTAGTCACTCAGAGTGACTTTGAAAAGAGTGCCCCCTGGTGGTCGGGCCTACCCAGGCGCTCGCTGCAGCCTCCTCCCCCACCTGGGGCTTGAAGCAGGGGAATCAGCCTGGTAGATGGGACTTGGGACCTCAGACCCTTCAGCCGTCAGTGCTAGTAGATCCAGTCCCGCCTGGCCTGTCTTTGTGTGGGCTGCGATACAGTTTTCTCGGACATAGCGCTCGATTACTCTGTGACAGCTTTGTCAGTATCACATGACAGCTACTAGTTGGGATAGCTGGGCCCGTGGAGCTGAAAGGTGTTACTGTCTGTTCCTTTCCAGAAAAGGGCTGCCAGCATCTGATTTGGAACACTCCACACGTCTCTCATGGTTTGTAAGGTGGGCGGTGAAAGGAAGGACTGGTTTCAACCAGGTGTAGTTGAGTCGGCTGTGACTCCAGCACCCCCGAATGTGCAAAGCGGCTTTTCCATGGCTGATCGTTTCAGAAACGAAGAGCCAGCCCTTTTATCCAAGGCGTCTCTGGGTGGGTTCCAACCGCCACCCTTTTGGTCAGCAGCCCAGTGCAGTTAGTCGTTCGTCCCACCCAGGGACCCCGTTGGTGTCTTCCTTAGCCTCTCCTGGCCCCTGGACTCTTACCCCCAGTTCGGAAACCATCTGCTCCAGCTGTTTGTTGAAGAAGTTGATGAGGCCCTGCTTCCTCTCGATCAGGATTGTGCGCCGAGCGATTTCGCTTTCGCTGTTGGCGATGAGAACGTTGACCTTCTTCACTTCCATGTCTAGCTCCACAAGCACCTGCTGGTGCATGTCGAGCCGGCAGTCGGTGTTGGTGATGTTGAGGGTGGTCTGAGCGATTTCACCATCGATTTTGGATAGATGAGTCACCTGAATGAGAAAAAGGAAACATACTGGAACTTGTGTGGGGGTTTTCCCTCTGGAAGTCTGTAGGTGAACACTGTGGGATAAACCCTGTACTACTGGTAGCGTAGTGGTTACGAATCGGGCTGCTAACCTCAGGGTCAGCAGTTTGAAACTACCAGCTGTTCCGCAGGAGAAAGATAAGGTTTTCTGCTCCCATAAAGATTTACAGCCTCGGAAGCACTGTACAGGGTCACTATGGGTCAGAACCAACTCCACCGCACATAACAAACAACTGCAAGGTCGGCAGTCCAAACCTAACAGCCGCTCCGAGGGAGAAAGACGAGGCTTTCTGTTCCTGCAAAGATTTACAGCCTCCGAAACCTATACAGGGACGCTATGAATCAGAATTGACTTCAAGGCACTTAACAACAACAACAACAACAAACCCTATGCAGGATCACTGTGTGTTGGAATAGACTTGAAGGTATTGGGTTTGGTTTTTGACTTGGGTAAGGAGCTCTGGTAGCATAGTGGTTATGAATCGGGCTGCTAATCTCACAGTCAGCAGTTCGAAACTACCAGCTGTTCCTCAGGAGAAAGATGAGGCTTTCTGCTCCCATAAAGATTTACAGCCTCGGAAACCCTGTGTAGGGTCATTATGAGTCAGAACCGACTCCACGGCACGTAACTACAACAACAATAAGTGAGCAACGCTGGTTTCTTATTTCCTTTAATATTGAGAGGTTTGTCTGGAAAAGTTGGCTGTTGGTTTTATGTCCAAGGGGAGGACCAACTTAAAAGCAGAAACTTTCTACAAATAAAAGAAAGATGCCATTATCTTTTTTTAATTTAAGAATTAGTAACAATACTGATCACCACTCATCTGTCAGTTTGGCACACTGTGGTGGCTTGCACGTTGCTGTGATGCTGGCAGCTGTGCTATCAGCATTTTAAATACCAGCAGGGTCACCCAAGGTGGACCTGTATATATGCCTAGGAGAAGAGGCGGACCACTTCTGAAAACCTTATGAATAGCAACGGAACAATCGCCTCATGTGCATGTGAGCGTTGGACAATGGATAGGGAAGACCATAGAAGAATGCTGCATTTGAGTTATGGTGTTGGTACAGAATATTAGAAGTACCGTGGACGACCAGAAGACCGAACAAATCTGTCTTTGAAGAAGTATAACCAGAATGCTCCTTAGAAGCCAGGATGGCAAGGCTTCATCTCGTGTCCTTTGGACATAATATCAGGAGGGACCAATCCCTGGGGAATGACATCATGCTTGGTAGAGTGGAGGGTCTATGAAAAAGAGATCGACCCCTAACAAGATGGATTAGCACAGTGGGCTCAGAGATACCAATTGTGAGGAAGACACCCATCTAGGCAGCGTTTCGTTTTGCTGTACATAGGGTCGCAGCGAGTTGGAACCGACTCGACGGCACCTAACAATATTGAAGGATCCCTGGTGGCACAGTGGGCTAAGCACCAGGCTGCCAACTGAAAGGATAAAGCTGTTTCTCGGGATAAAGTCAGGGCAGTCTGCTTCAGTAAACATTATAGCCGTGGAAACGCTATGAAGCCGTTCTATTCTGCCCTATAGGGTCGCTATGAGCTGGAATTGACTCGGCGGCAGTGGAACGTAATATTGCACCGGGTGGGGCAAACGGTTAATGCTAACCAAAAGGTCTGAGGTTCCAATCCACCCAGATGTACCTTGGAAGAAAGACCTGGAGATCTACTTCCAAAGCCTCAGCCATTGGAAACCCTGTGGAATGCAGCTCTCCTGTGATACACGGGTGACCGTGCACTTGAGTCGAGTCTCCAGCAACTGGGTTAGCATATGTTGTAGGTCAGTGTGAGCGTGAAGATGAGGAGAGGGGAGAATGTAGGTCACCCATAATTCTACCACATGGTGGTCTGCCTTCCCCCGCCCCCTGGGCTCAGGCTACATCATTCTCTTCCTTCTTTATCAAGGTTGGCCAAGGTGGCCAGCCACTCCTGCAGCTAGCTTCAAGGTGGCTTCCGTTCCTAAGTTCACCAATGGTAGGAAACTCATCCCTAAGTCTCCGGGCCCCTGTCACTATCTCACATCTACCCACAGTCACCGGTCTCCCGCTCCACATCTGTTTGCAACCTGTCAGCTCCCTTTGCTGCACTGTCTTCCCACAAGTCAACGCCCCACATCGACTGGGCCTGTACCCCCTCTGGGCCCTATCTATCCCTTCTGTGCCTCATCCCAGATATGACCCGCTCCTGTGGGGTTTTGGAGTAGGTAGAAAAAACTGTCCCTTTTCTAAGACTGAGTCTGTTCCCCAGGACTCTTTACTGCCCTCTGCTGGAAGTCCGTGGTAATGCATGTACCACCTTTGCTGTTTGCCCAGAAAGGGCAGGGGGAGGTCTTGGGTGGAGGAAATAAACCAAGTTTTAAGAGAGGTTGTCTCTGGTGAAGGAGTCCTGGTGGTGCATTGGGTTAAGCATTTGGCCACTAACCAAAAGGTTGGTGGTTTGAATCCCCAGTCACTCCTCGGGAGAAAGATGAGGCCGTCTGCTCCAATAAAGATTTGTTGTTAACTGTCGAGTCAGTTCAAACTCATAACAACCCCGTATAGGGTTTCCAAGGAGCAGCTGGTGCATTTGAACTGCTGACCTTGTGATTTGCAGTCCAGTGCTGATCCTACAGTACCATCCCAGGAGTCCCACAGGCCGTGTGAGGCCCGGCCCTGCCAAGACCACTGCAGTTCCAGCCATCATGTGGTTGTTGTTGTTAAGTAACACTGGGCTCAGAGGTAACAACTGTGAGACTGGCGCAGGACTGGGCAGCGTTGAGCTGGTTCTGACTCATAGTGACCCTGTATAGCGTTTCTAAGGAGCAGCTGGTGGGCTTGAACTGCCAACCTTGTGGTTCAAATTGACCTTGCGGTCCAGCCGTCACATTTGTTGTTGTTAAGTGCCGTTGAGTCAGCTCCGACCCATAGAGACCCAGGGTTTTCAAGGAATGACTGGTGAGTTTGGGAGTAAGTTAATAAAATGTTTGACCAAATATGGCTGCCTAATAGTTAAGTTGATAAAATGCAAACGATGTTATAAATTTTGGCAGAAGAAAAGGTGTAGTGTGGTTGCATAATGCACTGGACAGCAAGGTTGTTTTGAACGGCAAGGTCGGCGGTTCAAACTCACCAGTCACTCCTCGAAAACCCTATTAGGGTTGCTGAGAGCCGGACCCACCCACCGCTACCACCCCCAGCGTAGGCATTTCTAGGCTATAATCTTCACGGAGGGAGCTCAGTGGCTTTTGTAGGATAAATACTGGACCTGTTTGGGTTAGGCATTGGGCTGCTAACTGCAAGGTTGGTGGTTCAAACCCACCAGCTAGCTGCTCCAAAGGAGACAGTTGACGTTTCTGCTCCTATAAAGATTTGTTGTGGTTATGTACCATGGAGTCGGTTCTGACTCATAGCGACCCTGTACAGGGTTTCTGAGGCTGTAAATCTTTACAGGAGTAGAAAGCCTCATCTTTTTCCTGAGGAACAGCTGGTAGTTTCGAACTGCCGACCTTGAGGTTAGCAGCCAATTCGTAAGCAGTAAACTACCAGAGTTCCTTACAGCCTCCGAAGTCCTGGACGGCATCTTTATGAGCATGAATCAACCCTAGGCAGTGGCTTTGGGTTTTAGGTTCATCTTTATGGGAGTGGGTCTTTCTTGTGAGGAGCACTGGGCTAGCAGCTCAGCGCTTCCCAGTTGGAGCCACCTTGGCTCCGGGTTGTGCCTTCTGAGTGCGAGGAGAGCGTACGCACCAGATTGGTTTTTTCCTTCTGCAGCTTGATGATGTGCTGGTTGAAGTATTTGGTCATCTTGTTGGAGGTCATGTGCTCCTGCAGCTTCTCAAGGATGGACTCCTCCATCTTCCGCCTCGTGTCCAGCTCGTTCTGAATGGCCTGGTTGATGGCCTGCAGTTCGCACAGGATGGCTGTGTGTTCCTGAAAGGGATACAGATTGTCACAAAGACACTATGTCGGGACAATAGCAGTCTCCGAGGTATCAGCCCGCGGAGACCCTCGGCTGCACCTGGTGGGCCTTGTCCAGGGCATCCTCGGTTTCCTGCAGGGTCAGCCGGTAGGTGTTGAACTCGCTCTGCAGGGCCTCCTGCTTGGCCAGGCACTGGGTGGTCAGCTTCTGCATGAGGTTGGCTTCTGTCTCCACCCTGTTCAGAATGCTTGCTAGCTTCTCATTCTTTTCTTCCTCCTTCATGACCGACTTCTTATAGGCTTCGAGCTCACCATCGATGGACTTGACTTGATGTTGGCATTCACTGCCAAAATCAAGAAAGCAGAGTTACGTTTTAATTAAAAAACAAACAAACAAACACAGAGACTGGAGAGATGTACAAAGTTCATGAGGTGTTATTGTTACGTACCATGGAGTTGGTTCTGACTCATAGTGACCCTTCACAGGGTTTCCGAGGCTGCACATCTTTACGGGAGCAGAGAGCCTCATCTTTTTCCCATGGAACGGCTGGCAGTTTTGAACTGCTGACCTTGAGGTTAGCAGGCCGATTCGTAACCACTACGCTACCAGAGCTCCTTAAGTTCACGAGGTAGAAGACTCAAAAGTCTTTTGGACAGGACCTCAGAAATGAATGCATGCGGTTGTCCACACTTGAAGGAAACTCATGAACTAGAAATCTCTAGGTAGAGAGAGAAATGAGGAAACCAAACCTTGATTACTATTTTCTCATCTACTGAAAGGAGCTCTGGGAGCGTAGTGGTTACGAATTCAGCTGTGAACCGCAAGGTCCGCAGTTCGAAACTGCCAGCTGTTCCGCGGGAGAAAGATGAGGCTTTCTGCTCCTGTAAAGATATACAGCCTCAGAAACCCTGTACAGGGTCGCTATGGGTTTGAACCGACTCCACGGCACATAACAACCACCACTGAAAGGACAACTGCCCACTGACCTAGTTAGATGCTCTTTGATTGTTACAATTACAGGGAGTTGGAAGGGGAGGAAGCTAAAATCTCAGCCGGGCATTGTGTCTGGAGGTTTTCACCTGGCACCTTCTTTAATCCTGACAACAATCCTATACAAGAAATGTTATCATCTCGATTTTATAGATGTGGATACTGAAGCTCGGAGTGTTGGAGTCATTGGTCCAAAGTCCACAGCAAATGGGGCCGCTCAGATGGACATTTCATTGGGCTTACTACAGTGTAAAGTATCTCATTCAGTATATCAGCAATTGGAAAATACCTATGACTCACATCAGCTTAAAAGTGTCCCACCAAAAGGTCAGTGGTTCAAACCCACCAACCGTTCCATATGAGAAAGATAAGGGTTTCTAATCCCATAAAGATTACAGTCTCGAAAGCCTAACCCTAGCTCTATTGTACCAAATGGGGTCACTATGAATCAACATTGACTTCATGGAACTGGTTTGGGGTATGTTTGTTTTAGTGGGTAACGTCTGGTTCAAAAACACAGAAACGGAGAGATACACCAAATTCATAGGGCCGAAGACTCATGATTATTAATTAAGGTGCCAACTTTCCCTCACTGATGTATAATCCGATGGCCACTGATTTGATTCTGGCTCATAGCAAACCTGTGTAGATTTGCTGAGGCATGTAAATCTTTATGAAAGCAGACAGCGTCATCTTTCTACTGTGGAGTGGCTGGTGGGTTTGAACCACCAACCTTGAAGTTAGCAGCCCAATACTGATCTATAGAGTCAGTATAGCTCTAGTCACAAACCCAGGAGGTATTTATGTATTTTTTTAAAAAAGAAACTGGCTAGCTATTCTAAAAGTTTATGGGAATCTAAAGGACCTGTTGTTAAGTGCTGTTGATTCAGTTCTGACTCATAGTGATCAGGTTTCCCAGCTTTCTGAGGAACGGCTGGTGAGTTTGAATTGCCAACCTTGCAGTTCAAACCAACCTTGAGGTCAAGTGCTTATCCTACAGCACCACGTCAGGACTCTAGAACAGCTAAAATAATTTTGTCAAAGATCACATGATCTGATTTTAAGACTTTTGTGAAGCCACAGTTAGTTACCAGGGCGCTGTGATACTGATGAAAATCAAAGAGATCAATGGAGCAGATGGAGAGTCCAGAAACAGACAAACAGGCATGCACGCACGATCAGCTGGTTTTTGACAAAGATGCCATGGCTTTTCCGTGAGCAAGAGCATCCTTCTCAATAAGCGCTGCTGCCAGTGGGCATCCACATGTGAGTGAATGAACCGCATCCCGACCGCACACCATAGCAAAGGCGAACTGGAAATGCATCACACGCCTAAACTGTAAAACTCTAGTAGAAAAAGTTGGGGAACTTTGTGACGTTAGGCGAGGCGTATGCATCTTGTTGTGAATCCGTTGGGTCAGTTTCGACTGTTAGTGACCCTGTTTAAACCGCCAACCTTGAGGTTAGCAGTCCAGGGCTTATCTGGGAGCACCACAAACTATGTTCATTGGACTTCATCAAAATGCACAACATCTATTCTTCAAAAGCAAGCGTGAAGAGAAGGAAAAGGCAAGGCATAAGCCTGGGGCGGGGGGTGGGGGTGGGGGCCGGGGGTGGTGTAGTATTTACAAAATATCTAAAGGTGAGGGGTAATGGGGAAGTGTATCCAAAATACATGAAGGGCTTTTACAACTCAGTAATAAGATAAACTGGTTACGAATCGGGCTGCTAACCTCAGGGTCAGCAGTTCGAAACTACCATCTGTTCCACGGGAGAAAGATGAGACTTTCTGCTCCCATAAAGATTTACAGCCTCAGAAACCCTGTACAGGGTTGCTATGGTGAGCTTGAACTGCTGACCTTATGGTTCAAACGGCTTTGCGGTCTGGCGCATTAACCCACAGCGCCACACCAGGACTCCAGTGTCCTTAGTTACCAGGAAATACAAACTGGAACCTCAGTGTAATGCCACCACCCATCCACTACTGGCCAGTGAGGGCTACCTTCTCACAGCTGACCACAGCCATGGCTGGTGAGGCTGTGGAGCACCCGGGAGTCTCCCACTTCAGAAACAGTCACTTTGGAAAACAATTTGGCAGTTTGCTTTAAAGCTCAGCGAGTCTTTACCAGCGATTCCACTATGAGGAAAGTTCTCAGGAGACAGGAGAAAACATACCAACACAAAGAATGGCCGTAGCAGCTTTACTCAAGACCCACCAACTGGAAATACCCAAATGTCCATCAACTGGCCAGTAGATAAATAAACCATGAGGAGTGCATACAATGAGATACTCTCCTAGCTAGGTGTTATTGAGTTGTTTCCAACTCACACTGCCTCAGGCCACTGCATCCAGGATACCATCTTATCAATTGTATTGTTTTAAAGTACCAGCTGGTGGGTTCCTACTCATAGCAACCCTGTATAGGGTTTCCAAAGAGCGCCTGGTGAGTTTGAACCACTGACCTTGTGGTTCAAACCAGCCTGGGGGTCCAGTGCTTAATCCCACAGCACCACCCCAGGACTCTATCAACTAGAGTACAAATGGAAAAACAAGGTGCGATCCAACCGATCCAACGATCCAACCGTGCGCCAACAAGTGGAGGTGGCCTGGCTTGCAAATGAACCCTCTCCAGACAGGAAATCCCCAAATCCCTACCCTAGCCTAGTGACTGATCTGATTCGTCAGGCTGGTAAGCATGCCACCAGCACCAGGTAAAGTCCTAGCAATGTGAATGGCCTCAAGGCCTGGAGGCAGGGGCTGACCCTTCACACACCCAGGGCCACAGAGGGGAAGGAAGGGGGAAGGGGCATCCACAGTTTCTGATTTGCTTAGGATGTTGTTGAAGAAGGAAGTAAGGTGGGACCGAGGTGGGCAGGTGATCGTGTGAATGTATTTCCCAGAAGGGGACAGGGTCCCAGGAGGGGAAACCCAGGACCTGCTAACACGTTTCTCATGGGAGGAGAACAGGGTGAACGCAGGACAAGGCGGGAGACAAACTGCTGTACATGACAGCAAAGGACTTGTAACTGAACCGCTTATAAAGACAAAGCAAAATCCTGCCCTCCGGACAATTCCAACTCACATGTAGGGCTCTTAGACGGAATCTTTACAGGACCAGACAGCCTCGTCTTCCTCCCTTGGAGTGGCTGGTGGGTTTGAACTGACAACCTTGTACTTAGTCTAGTGCTGAACCCACTGCACCACCAGATCTTGAGTGACTTATACAACAAATTAAAGATAAAAAATAGGGCAAACGAGGAGGTGATGGTAAAGCCAAGTCACCTGGGGCACACAGGAACTAGCCCTATGGAGAGAGGTTTACAGGGAGACAGATGGGGGCGGGAGCTGGCCAACACGGCGTGGGGGGCACGGTTCACTGAAGCATGCCTGCTGTGAGTTCCAATAGCCGGAGCTGAGTCTTGGACTTCAGAAGGGACAGTGCCTGGCCTCTCTCAGGGTCCAGGGCTGGTAGCAGTCTTGCTAATTGGCCAGCATTCACGTCCTTTGGAGGTTGACCAAGGAAGCTGCCCTCATTCCACAGACAGCCAATGCCTCTTAAAAAAAATATTTTTTTAATTGGCAAAACACTTATAGCATAAAATTTGCCACTTTAACTATTTTTGAGCATACAATTCAATGGAAAGAATTATATACACCATGCTGTATGTAAATATGGATGCTATTGGAAAGGGAAAGGCTGTGGGCTGGTGGCCAGGTGGCAGGCTTATAGAATATGCCCTTTGGTTGTTTAAATGATTATATATTCCTGAGTGTACATCAACAATCAAACACACAGAGGGAATAGAAGCAAATCCTATTGAATGATGATGCATGGAGGAGTTTGTAATCATTGCAATGAAATGATAAGTGTAAAACTGATGTTCTCCCATGTAAACTGTAACTCAGTTCACAATAAAAACTTTAAAATAAAAAAAAAATGGATGCTGGAGATACATGATAGAATTTTGAAAGACCAATGACTTCTTCATTGCAAATACCTCTTTTTAAACAACATAAAAGATAATTATACACATGGACTTCAAAAGATGGAATACACAGAAATCAAATTGACTACAAATGTGGAAAGATACAGCAGAAAAGCTCCATATCATCAGCCAAAACAAGGACAGGGGCAGACTGTGGAACAGACCATCAATTACTCATATGCAAGCTGAAGAAAATTAAAACAAGTCTAGGAGAGCCAAAATATGGCCTTGAACATATCCCACCTGAATGTAGAGATCATCTCAAGAACAGATTTGATGCATTAGACAGTAATGACTGAGATCAGAAGAGTTGTGGGATGACATCAAGAACATCATACAGGACGAAAACAAAAGGTCATAAAAAAAAAAAGACAGGAAAGAAAGAAAAGACCAAAATGGATGTCAGAAGAGACTCGGAAACTTGCTTTCCAGCGTAGAGATGCTAAAGTGAATGGAAGAAATGAGGAGGTAAAAGAACTGAACAGAAAATTTCAAGAGCAGCTTGAGAAGACAAAGTCAAATACGGTAATGAGATACGTTAAGATCTGGAATTAGAAAACCAAAATGGAAGAACACGCTCAGCATTTCTTAAGAACGAAAGAAAGGATTCAAGCCTCGTTGTGCAATATTAAAGGATTCTCTAGGTAAAATATTGAATGATGTAGAAAGTATTAAAAGAAGATGAACTGAGTCCACAGAGTCACTGTACCAGAAAGAAATGGCTAGTGTTCAAGAATTTTAAGAGGTAGCATATGATCAGGAGCTGAAGGAAGAATTCCAATGTGCACTGAAGGCACTGGCAAAGAACCAGGCTCTAGGAATTGATGGTATACAAATGGAAACCTTTCAGCAAACTGACACAGCACCGGAGGCACTCACTCACATAGACCAAGAAATCTGGAAGACAGCTTACCTGGCTCGGAAGAGTTCCTTATTTGTGCCCATTTCAAAGAGAGGTGACCCAATGGAATGTTGGAAATCATTAGATGATATCATTAATATCACATGCAAGTAAAATTTTGTTAAAGATAATTCCAGAGCCACTGCAACAGTACATTGGCAGGGAACTGCCAGAGGTTCAAGTAGGATTCAGATGAGGACATGGAATGAGGGGCATCATTGCTGACGTCATATGGATCTTGGCTAAGAGCAGAGGATAATCAGAAAGATGTTTACCTGTACTTTATTGACTATGCAAAGGTTTTACTGTGTGGATCATGACAAGCTACGGACAACATTGTGGAAGATGAATATTCCAGAACACTTAGTTGCGCTACTGAGGAAACTATACGTAGACCAAGAGGCAGTTGTTTGAACAGAACAAGGGAACACTGAATGGTTTAAAAGTAGGAATGGTGTGCACCAGGGTTGTATTCAATGTGTACACTGAGCAAATAATCCAAGAAGCTTGAATATATGAAGAAGACCAAGGCATCGGGACTGGAGGAAGACTCATTAACAACCTGGGATATGCAGATGATACAACCTTACTTGCTAAAAGCCAAGAGGACTTAAAATACTTAGTGATGAAAATTAAAGACCACAGCCTTCAGTATGGGTTGCACCTCAATGTAAAGAAAGCAAAAACCTTCATCACGGGAGTAACAAATACATAATGATAAATGGAGATAAGATTGAAGTTGTCAAAGATTTCATTTTGCTTGGACCCACCATCAACACATATGGAAGGAGTAGCCAAGAAATCAAACAATGCACTGCATTAGGAAAACCTGCTACACATGATCCCGTTAAAGTGTTCAAGAGCAAAGATGTCAGTTCGAAGACAGAAGTGCACCTGACCCAAGCCCTGGCATTTTCAGTATCTTCCTATGAATGTGAAAGTTGGACAATGAATAAGGAAGACTGGAGAAAAATGGATGCATTTGAGCTATGGTGTTGGAGAAGAATATTAAAGGTACCATGGGCTGCCAGAAGAACAAACCAAGCTGTGTTGAAAGAAGTACAGCCAGAATGCTCCTTAGAAGCCAAGATGGTCAGACTTTACTTCTCATACTTCAGAAATATTATCAGGAGGGATCAGTTCCTGGAGAAGGACATCATGCTTGGTAAATTGGGGTATGATTGAAAAAGAGGGAGACCCCCAATGAGATGGATTGGCACAGTGGCAGCAGCAATTGTGAGGAGGGTGAAGGACCAGGTGGTGTTTCGTGTTGTGCTGTGTCAGAACTGACTCAACAGCACCTAACAACAACAACAACAACAACGTGTACAAGCATTACCGTTATGTTTGCAAATGTTTCATCCCCTGCCAGACAGAAAATTAGGAGCTCTTCAGCAACAAGGCCTCATCCCTGACTCCCCACTCAGAACCTCAAAGTCTCTATGTGTTTGCCAATTCTCGATATTTCCTCTAAGTGGAATCACACATGTCCTAGCATGGATGTCTCTTTCCATTCAACATCCTGTTTTAATTGTCCATGTTGTTGTAGGGCTTCCAGAACATCGGTTTTCTTTAAGGCTGAGTCCCTCCCTGGGGGATGGTGCAGACACTTCACAGGATTTCAGCTGCCAAATGGAAAGTTGGGGGCTTAAGTTCACACAAAGGAGTGTGCAAGACAGGACCGGTGATTAACGTCAGAGAAATCATCCCCAGAAAACTCTGTGGGACACAGTTCTATTCAGACACACACAGGGACACCATGAGTGGAATTTATTTATGAAAAATCAGCCACTGACAATCCTATAGGGCACAGTTTTACTCTGACACACATGTAGGCGCCATGAGTGGAATCTCCTTGTGACAAATCATCCACTGAGAACCCTGTGGGCACAGTTCTACACTGACACACAAGGACATCATGAGTGGAATCTACTTATGAAAAATCCACTGAGAACCCTGTGGGCACAGTTCTCTTCTGACCACACGGGGGCACCATGAGTGAATCTACTTATGGAAAGTCATCCACTGAGAACCCTGTGAGCATAATTCTACTCTGACACACACGGGGGGCACCATGAGTGGAATCTAATTATGAAAAATCCACTGAGAACCCTGTGGAGCCTGGTTCTACTCTGACACACATGTAGGCGCCATGAGTGGAATCTACTTATGAAAAACCATCCACTGAGAACTCTGTGGGCACAGTTCTACTCTGACACACAAGGGGGGCACCATGAGTGGGATCTACTTATGAAAAATCCACTGAGAACCCTGTGGGCACAGTTCTACTGTGACACACACGGGGGTGGGGGTTTCATGAATTAGAGTTGACTTACTAGGTTAGTAGGAAGCCATGAAACCTGCAGTGCTGGAGGTGACTGGACAGTCCCTCATGAGAAGGGGGCCCCAAAAGGGGCCTCTGACCCTCTCCTCAAAGAAGTGAGGAGGCCCCTGCAGCAGAATAATGGTGAAGGCCACTCATGTCTACACACAGGTGGTGAAGCTGAACATCAAAGGGAGACCTTCACCTCCCAAACATCCGGGCTCCCTCCCCAGGGAGTCTGAGTAAGAAATCTCAGCCCCCACCCTCCCAGCTCTGAAAGCTGAGAGAACTTAAGCTTTGTGGAATCTGAGAACAATGACAAGCTGCCAGGAGGCACGTCAGAGGTGAGGCTCCAGGTGCACATCTGAGGAGGTCCTGCACACCTGGCCATGGATGAATCCCCCTGCCGGCCAGCCGGCGGCCCACCCAGCGCCCCAGCGCCCCTGTGCCCCACACCTTAGGGCGTCCTGGATGGTCCTGTGAGCCTCGTCTCGGTGTTTCATCCCCACCAGGCTGGTGGTCCACTGCTGCAGAATGTGCTTCTTCTCCATGTTGATGGTATCGATTTCCATGCAGGCCTGCGGGGAGGGGCCCAGTGAGCACTGGTCTGGTCTCCTCGGTCTCTGACTCCCCCCTTGCTGACTGCCAGATGTCATCTGACGTGGTATGTAAAGTACTGTAGCAGATCAATCACATGAAAGTGGAGCTCCTGAGGGCTCCAGCTGTCTTCAGACAACAGGCAGTCACTGGGAACAAGTTTGTCTTCACACTGCCTGTCGCCTGACCCAGGAATCTGGGGATGCACGCACGCGGAGGCCCTCTGACGTATGGATTGGGGTTTATAGCCCCCCTCCCCACCAGCCTCAGTTGTGTGAGACATTCGTTGAAGTAAATCTCTCTCTCTCTCTCTCTCTCTCTCTCTCTCTCTCTATATATATATATGTATACACATACACATGTATTGAAACAGAACAGCAATGACAAGAAGAACAGAGCTGGACTCCTGGTGTGGTGCTGTATGTAGGATCAGCACTGGACTACGAGGTTGACGGTTCAAATCCACCAGCCGCTCCTCAGAAACCCTATACAGGGTTACTGTGCGTTGGAACTAACTTGATAGCGCTTCAGAACCACAACAGTGTGAACAAGGATGTCCCTGGACTGTTAGTTTTATGGTTCTTGCTCTCTGACAAACCTTTTAACCTGTCTCATCTTTTCTTCTGAAATTTCTGCTCTTGGTGTTATACTTAGAAATACCTTCCCAGCCCTGGGTGACTTCAGTGCATATTTTTCACTTCTTCTGGTAGTGAACTAAACACTTGATTCCATCCGGAATTTATATTACTGCCTGGAATGAGGAAATCATTTAAATTAAAAATTTTTTCTTTAACTAATTAAACAAACGTACCAACACCACTGGCTGAACAATTCATCAGCTTTTCACTCATCTGTAATCAACTAGATTGATATATAAACCTTTTGCTTCTTGCCTTTCGCAGAGGCTCCAGCAACCTGGCCATGCATCCTGATCTTAAAACCACGCTATTTTAACTTTGAGAGCTTTATTAGAGATATACAAGCAGACATGTATACGAACACATGTTGTTGTCTTGGTTAAGTGCCGTCGAGTTGGTTCCGACCCACAGCGACCCTGTAGAGGGTTTCTGAGGCTGCAAAGCCTCATCTTCATCCCAAGAACTGGCTGGTGGGTTTGAACCACCAACCTTGTGGCCCAGTGCTTATTCTACAGAGCCACAACACTCCGCATACCTATAGACACGCAAGAAGACCACTGCAGCATCAAGCTCATTCAATCCTATATAGGGTTTCTGAGACTGTGAGTCTTTACAGTAGATAGTCTCGTTTTTCTTTTGAAGAGTGGCTGGTGGGTTTGAACTAGTAGCCTTGTGCTCGGCAGCCCAACGCCTAACCCACAGCGCCACCAGGGCTCTTTATATAGGTACAAATATTCATCTATCCATATGTTGCTGTTAAGTGCCTATGAGTTGCTTCGACCCATAGCGGCTGGTGAACTTGAACCGTCAACCTTGAGGTTCAAATGACCTTGCAGTCCAGCGCATTAACCCACAGCACCACGGCAGGGCTCCATAGACATACCTATTTTTTATATATCAATCATCCTGGTATGGCGCTGTAGGATTAGCACTGGACTGCTAACCACACCAGGCGCTCTTTGGAAACCCCTATACAGCGTTGCTATGAATTGGAACCGACTAGAGAGCACTTAACAACAAAAAAGCAGTGGTTTCTAGTGCGGGCCACCATGACAGCTGTGGGAGTGATCGGTCGCCTGTCCTCCCCCACTCCACGAGGGGCAGAGATGTACACTTCTGTCCATGAGAGCTGAAGCCGATGCTCTTACCTCCCCCACCGCCTTCCGTAAGATCCGGGTGTCCTCAGCCTGAGAGAGATACTTGGCCTCAAACAGGGCGATGTTTTCTTCCAGCTGATGGACCTGCGTGGTGAGCTGATCCACATGTAGGTCCTGGGGAGCAAGAAGAGAAGATGCCCAGTGGGGACACCTGAGTCTAGCCGTGAGGGATCGTTGTCCACCAGCCCTTTGGAAGATAGATCAACAATACCATCATGGTTTAAACTGGACACTCTCTCTGTCTCTTCGTAGAGATAGATATAGATATGAGAATGTCATTGAGAATGACTGTTGTTAAGTGCCTTCAAATCGGTTCTGACTCATAGCGGCCCTGTATAGGGTTTCCAAGCCTGCACATCTTTGTGTCATAGCGGTCCTGTATAGGGTTTCCAAGCCTGCGCATCTTTGTGTCATAGTGGTCCTGTATAGGGTTTCCAAGCCTGCGCATCTTTGTGGGAGCATAGAGCCTCATCTTTCTCCCATGAAGTAGCTGTCAGACTCACATCTCCTACAGAGATATGTTGGCGTTCTTGATTCCCTGCTCCTGCAAATGTGCCTTGCTTAGAAATCAGGTTGTGTTTTAAAAAATTATATGTTAACAAGGCCACGCTGGAGAAAGGTGGGCCCTAAACCTAATCGCTTCTGAGTGTTGCTGTTGAGTGGGTTCTGACGCATAGCAACCCTGTGTAGGGTTTCTGAGGAGCGGCTGGTGAGTTTGAACCGCCCACCTTGTGGCCTGTCTAGTGCTTCTCCTTTAGCATCACTCCAGGACTCCCATTGCTTCGGAGTGGTGTGATGTAAGGCAGGAAGACAGACCCACAGGGAGAGATGCCATGTGAGGATCCGTCTATAAGCCAATGGGACACACCAGGGGGATGGGGCGAGGCTTCCAGAAGCTTTGAGAGACAGGCAGAGATCACCTGCAACCGACAGAGAGAGAGGGAGCCTGGCTCGGCCAACTCCCCAAGTCCAGAAGTGGCAGAAAATCAGATTCTGTTCTTTAATACAGTACGGTAAGCACTGGACTGTGAACCACATGGTCGACTGTTTAAAGCTAAACAGCCATTCTATGGGAGAAAGGTGAGACTTCTGCTCCCTCAAAGACGCGCAGGCTCGGAAACCCTATGCAGGGCCGCTATGAATTGGAACCGATTTGAAGGCACTTAAAAACAACAGTCATTATGAATGAGATTCTCCTGTCTTTACCTCTACATTTATAGACAGACAGACACAGAGAGTGCCCTGGTGTGGCACGGTAGGCTAATGCACTGGACTGCAGACTCAGTTTGAAGTTCAAGGTCAGCCGTTGCAGCTCACCAAGCTGAACAACCTATATGTGGTCACTATGGGTGGGAACCAACTCGACAACACGTAACAACAACATATATACATATATGGAGTCTTGGGGTGGCCCTTCAGGATCATGTGCTGGACCGGAAGGTCAGTTTGAAATGCAAGGTCGGCGGTTCAAACCGACCTTTCTGCTCCTCAGAAATCCTATAAGGGTCGCTGTGGTTGGAACTGATTTGGTGGCACTTCACAACAACATAGCTGTTTCTCTCCTGAGTGAGAATTAGATGTTAGAGAGCTCTGGTAGAACTAAGACAGACCCTAAGCTCCAGGATCCCCCTTCCCCTCCTACGCCCCCCTCCCCCCAAGCCCATTGCCATCCAGTGGATTCGACTCTTTCTCCCGAGGAGTCGCTGGTGGGCTTGTACTGCCGACGTTTCCAATAGCTGCCAAATGCTTTAAGCACTGCACCACCAGGGAGCCTCGGTAGTGCTCCAGCAAAGCAGAACAGCTTTCAGAAAAATGAAGGTTTGTCACACGCTGTCGAGTCTGTTCCGATTCAGAGGCCCCACCCGTATAGGGTCTCCGAAGAGCGGATGGTGGGTTTGAACCGCCGACCTCGAGGTAAGCAGTCCAGCGCTGATATTGCAGCACCACACCGGGACTCAGTAAAGGTTAAGTGATGGTTAACTACTCGTGTGGGTGGCTACCTGCTTTTGCTTCTCCACCTCCGCCTGCCTCCTGTCCATCTCGGCTTTCTTGACCACCTGCTTCATGATAGCGATGTCCCCGCGCATATCCTGGTCGACGTTCTGCATGTAGAAGAGGCGCAGAGCCAGGCTTTCCACCTCGGCTTGCAGGGCCGCCACTGGGGGAGGAATCGGGAGAGGTCCCTCACTCACATTTCAGGGAGCCCGAGACCGGTGGGAGACAGAGACCACTGGCTCAGTGCCCCCTTTAGGGTGGGATTGGGAAACTGCTCTTAAACTGTGAAGACCCAGACTCTGCTGACAAAGAACTCACAAACTAATTGGACGGCAAAACCCACAAAACATGTGCGTAGTCTTAGCATCGGACATTAGAATGAGATGGCTTGTTTCCCTCCACGCATTACAGAGCATGGGCTCAAATGCCCACAGACGCTGGAAAGGTTCCACAGGAAGCTTAGTGGACAGTGAGAGTGTGCTAACCGGGAAGGACTCATCTGGGGTGGGGACACTGAGAGGAGTGTTCTCCAGACCACTGAAGGTGTTCCTGGAGGTACTCCCAGTCTCCCCTTGGTAGACTTACTCCTAGCTATTTTATGCTGATTAAAACTTCTATGGAGCATGGTGGCTCTGTATGGTAAGCACTGAACTGTGAGCTACAGGGTCAGCAGTTTGAACCCAACAGCCGCTCCATGGGAGAAACATGTGATTTTCTGCTTCTGCAAAGATGTACAGCCTCAGAAACCCTGTACATGGTCGCTATGAGTCAGAACCGATGCGAAGGCACTTTGCAACAA